TTAAATTATTAAACTTTTAGGGCCAGCAGTACCAAGGTGAGCAAGAAGTGCCACGTTTTCAGCGACGTAAGGTAAATCTATTGTAATATCCACAATATGAGTTTAACATATTAATGTCTAACTTATGAGTTGCCAAATATGACACAATATTTCATGCTTTACTGTTTTTTTTGGCAATTAGGTCAGAAGAATACAGGTAAACTGAATCACTTTCTTGTTTCTTGTCTTTTATGTTGTTGTTCATAAAGTCACTGAAACATTTTGCTGATGTAAATGTAGAAAACCATCTAGAAAAGCTCATTTTATAGTTATATATAAGCCTTATGTAATATATACAGTGTATATGCATATTCATCATACTCATAAACCTGATGTTTTTCATTGTTTTACATTTGACTGAAAAGCAAACTGTCATAAAGACCTTTAAACTCACCTTGGACACAAATACAGTGTGTTGCTGTGAATTCCGCTAAAACATGTTTTAATTTATTGAGTATTACAGATGCATCTCTTCCCTCCTCTCACTCTGCAGTTCATTTTATATGTAGAGGGAAGTAGATAAAGCTAGTGCCTCCAAACCTCCCTGGCGCTCAAAGATATCGACCACAGCTCCGTATTTGTGCATAAATGTGTTGTTACTATCATGAGCAGTATTTGCATTGTTAATCTGCCTGCGGCCGGCAGGCTGATTGTGTGCTGATGGGAGAGAAAGGTGCATCTTATTGCCCAGGCAGTTTGACGATTTTATTTGAGGTTCAGCTCCCAGTCAATGGGATTGGCCGTAAATTACATTCTATGTGCGGGAAAATGATGTGACACCCATAATTTATGTCAAATAACTTTTTGAGGACGTGAAAGTGTGTGTGTAATCAGCGCTGGTGCTGATACTGGAGATTTAATTTAAACATTTTTCTTTTCCTCAAAGGGTGATGGAATGGCGTCTTGTTGTGTAATGTTCTGTAATGTTTCATTTTAAATCTAGGGTCATCATCTGGCTCAGAGAAGGTCATAGATTCACCAGATCATAGAATGGAACCAGCTTTTCCACATACATCTATCTCCAGAAATCAAGATACAGCAAGGACAGTTTAACCAGGCGGTCTAAAAGAGATGATATGCATGTTTAAAATTTGGGTCTTGTGATTCCTCAAAGTGTTTATAAGGAAGTCTGTTTCTTATTTACTTAACTAATATTCCATGTTTGAGCATGTATATATTTTAATGAAGTTGAGTTAGCAAGCTTAAAACAGTACTGGGTTAAATAAAAAGCAATATGGCATAATGTTGAATGTGAAAGCAACATGGCATAATGTGAAAATAATTTCGAATCACATCTCATTTTGTAAAAACCTTTGAAAACATGTTCACATAAATGTATTTACAATCAGAAATCTATGGGGCAAGACATTTTGGAGTGTTTAAAAACAAATTTGAAGCTCGTAATTTATTTTAGTACTTATAAATACAATTATTCTGTAAAAATCTTTATTACATATTTGAACTGTAACATGGGACTACTTTTCTCAGCAGATGAACATCTGCATATGTGCTACTGTAATTGCTATGAGTGTAACATTATGCGTTATTCCTTTAAGGAATTGTTTGGGGTTGGTTAAAAGTACTTTATATATCATTACATTGGATATAGCTTTGTACAAAGTTGTAGATGATTCTATTATAACAATTTAATGCTAACATTTTAATGTTTAACTGTTGTCAAAATCTCTTTAAAGTTGTGATGTAACGGAAGTAGCAACAGATCTTTTTCTTTCATATTGTGACATAAATTCAAGTGTAATGGATTATCGAAAAAAAAATGGAGATCTGAGTTTTAGTACTATCCATCGTTGATTGGATTTTGAGATGTGGGCATTGCACTCAAAATTGAATACAGGCTACTTAAAATTAACCATGGTCATATTTTGATAATGTAAAAATGTAAACATTTTTGGGTGAATACTATAGTTCTATAACATGAGATCTAAAACATGCATTTACAAAATTAATTGTCATTTCATGCTAACTTTAAGTCAAGTCAGTCCATTTGGCGGCCATCTTGGTAATGTCTCTGGGCCCTGAATGGAAAAAGACTGAAATCTCAAACATTGGTTATCAATATTGCATTTCAATAACATTGC